TGCATGTGAGGCCTATGTAGGCAGAGTTGGCACTGACCTTAACCAGATGCAATTGCAATTTGTGTCTGTAGAAGAATCTAAAGTACTGAAATGTCTTCTCCCAACAGCACTCAATGCCTATTTAATAAAGAACAAAAGTCAGAAAATGTGATAGAGTCTTCTTAGCCTACAACTGCCCAACACTAATGTCAATCCACTAAAAATAACACTGGACTTCACCCAGGAGAGGTTAATTAAGGAGAACAGCTCTCTTTTAGGATCAACACAAAAAGGAAACCATATTCAAGTTGGAATTCAACAATAGGAAATATAAAATCTGCTCTAAATACTATACAAATAAAATAAATAAATTATAGAAATAAATTTATAAATTTTGTCATATATGCATGTGATAGATAACTGATTGTGTCAACTTGAATAAGAAATGCCCAATTGGATCACCATAGTTCTGAGTGTGGTTGAAAGGATTTACTGAAGACAGAATTTCCACCCTGGGTGTGAGTGACACTGAACAATAGGCTTGTCGCCTGAATGTAATGAAAGGAAATGAAGAAGGAAGTCTTGCTTCTGTTTCTTTGGAGGAGCTCCAGTCTTCACCTTCACCTTGGACATCATCCCCTCCCATCCAGTGCAAACTCTTCTGCTTTACTGAGCAGACTCTTCAACCTTCCACCATAGACCCTTCACCCTCCTGATACGGACTCTCACAGGACACCGAAGTGAGCTCCAGGCCTTCAACTGGGAACTTCTGATCTCCAGCATGCAGACAGTCCTTTTGCAGTTTTCCACACCTGACTCTGTGGGCAGCCATTGTCAACCAGTCTTGTACATTCTCATATTTTTGTATATCTTGCATTAAATGTTTCTCTAGTAAGCACTGATTGACATAGTATGTTATTAAACTGTCATAGAAATGGCCATACTCTAAAACAATTTTCTATTTTCCTTAATTAAATGATCTTCTTTTCTTCATATTCTTGGCAGGTTTCATGTTCTATCCATGTAAATTTGCCTTTTATAGAAGCTTTTATTAGCACAATTACAAACTGATCTCTGCAGACTATAGAGTCTGCAATTATGAAACTGAATTTGATATCAATTCTTTTTCTGAATTAATGAACCACGTGTTTTTTTCCTCCAGTTTGTCATTCTAGTACCTGAACACTGTCATTATCCATTCACTTAAGAGCATCTCGAGTCCAGTTTTTGAAAATTATCAGTAATATAAAAAAGCTCCTATAAACACCAGTGTCATATATTTTCCTGTGGACATCATGCTTACTATTTCTCTTGCTAAATACATAAATGTTCAACCATTGAACTATATGCTGAGACTCATTTTTACTGTAAAAGAACTGGTCCCTTGTGTTTCAGAACTATTACACCACTTTTATTTCCTCAGGAATAAAGAAGACATTATGGTGCTTTGTATCTTCACTAAAACTTGGTTTTGCATGGTTTTCTTTTCACCCATTGTAATAGGTATGAATTTTTAGGCAATCATTTTAAATTTATTAATAGTGTTTAATATTTATACAGATTAATGAGCTTCATTTTGCATCTTTAAACATGCATACAACAACATACTTCGGTTTTTTTCACCCCCATTAGCTCCTCTCTTTTCCACTTCCCTGTGATCCTCATCTTTCTTTTCTAAGTCTACTACTTTTATGTCATCTCATTTTTTATTCAGTTGAATTCTCTTGGTAATAACTAGTATTTTACATATTTTCCAACTCTTATTTACCTTCCCTATCTTTTAGTTGCTGAAAATTGTGTTGAGATTTTTCATTTATTTTGTCATTACATTTCTGACTTTCTTTCATAGAATTTAAAATGTTCTCTCTATACCTTGCAGGAATTTATCTCTCACCCCTGCACCTTATGAATGCTTTCTACCATGCTGTGGCTTGCTGGTATATTATCTTTACATAGTTTTTCATGGATTTCTCCAGTATTTTTAATGTTTTAGGTATGTATTGTGTGTACCTATAGATTTCTCTCTCTCTTTTTTTTTAAGGAAGTATGACTTAGGTACATTTTTACTAAACAGTGGATGTTTGTGTATTACTTCAAATTGTTCTGTGACTTCAGCCTTGAATGTGCCCTGATCCTATTTTAAAGGTTTGCTCCCTGTGTATGTCACCATAAGGACATGGTGCACCTGCAGGAGCTGGGTAGATTGGAAGGAATTTAGGTCACCGATAGAAGATGCAATGACCATAGCTCTGAAGCACCAGGCCGATTCAACCATAGACAAAATCATCTGAAATACTGAGTCAAAATGAACCTTTCTTTTTTAATTTACTCAA